GACCAGATTTCTTGCAGTCAAAGGAGACCTGTTGATCTAGCCTGGTGCTCCCTTTGTTAGATTGTTCTGAAGAATCTAAGGTAATCTAAGAATTGTGGGCACGGGGCCAGTGTCATGTGTTACTGTTACATTGGACCACAAGATGCCGTCGATGCAGTGAAGATAGTGAAGCAAGATTTTGTCCATCAGTATATGTTGATTGTAGGCCTGCAAATTACAATATTGTAATCTTATCAAACGTGTATATATACTTGTAATCATGTGTATATATATACACAAGAGATGTGTGTCCTTTCACTTCTAATTCTTGGTTGTTGTTGAATTGATACCAATCCTCCATTTGGTGTGACATGGGTCCCGTTTGATCAGCTGTGGAAGCTGGGAATACATGCGAACCCGGTGCATCGAACCGTTTGCCTCAGGTGATGTTGACATGTGAATTTGCGCACAGGTACGACTTGGTTGCTCAAGAGTGACCCAAGGGTCAATGACAAAACCTGTGATCGATTGCCACAGTCCCATCCATTTCTGAGACTCATTCAAACGCTTTGGTACTGAGGCCGAGGACTCCTTGATCCTTTCAGGCGTTAGATCAAAGTGCTCTTCCAACATGTTTTCTCCTGGGTCAAAGTCCAAGAGAGAAAGCGATGGCCTCCAACCTATACTAGTGATGGCCTCCAACCTAGTAGCGATGGCCCCCATCTAATAACAGAGTGCTCAATTTCCAATAAGATTCCGGCAAGACATGTAAACACAGTGAATCACAAGAAGAGTCCTCACTCTCACCATAATCTTCTTTCTGCAGCCGCATGCACATCTGTCATGTGCCGTAATAAAAGTAATTAAAAGTAATTAAAAGTATTTATATATTCAGTCTGCAGCACTTTTGCTTGAACATCCACTTAAGCACGATGTCGTTTTTCACCTCCGCAGAAACCACCTTATGCCCGGCCTATAACTCCACCATGTTACCCCTATAACCAACCAGTTTCATTTGCCCAACCATCCCCACATTCCCCCCCCCCCGTGATGGCGGATCTTGCGCACGGTCTGCGACTCGGAGCGTCCCGGCGGGGTAGACTCACCGAGGCACGAATGTTCCGCGAGCGCAAGTTGGACTCGCGGATCTCGCTGTCGGCGGCCAGGCTTTCACTGCCCGAGAGGGACTCCCTCAGCTGACGCATGAGCACCTCGGAGGCTGGAACAGCCCAAAAAATGGCACAGCCAGCATTTTTGGTATGAAACACGGAGGTTTCTTTGAGGCTTCAGACTCATGCAAGTTGTGGTTGTAGGAGGTTGTTGGGGGTGAGGGGTGCCGGAAGCAAGGGGGCTGCGAAAGAAACGCAGGAATGGTGGTGGTTTGGGAAGCGGCCTGAATTAGCATGAATTGTGCACCAGCAACATCCCTCTGCGTGCCAATTTTGAGGGCCTTATGGTTATCAGTTATCTCCCTGCCAGAAACTTTGATCTACTGCAGTAAGCCATCTGCTGATGTACAAATCCAATGCTTTCCTTGATTGGGTCAGTGTTCCTCTACCGAAGCGAGGTTCAGCTATGTCACCAGTTTTTTCGCCCCCTGGGCCCAGAACGGCCGGCCAGGAGGCTGGAAAGTACGTGGAATTCGCCAGCGAAAACCACAAATCCAAATCACTTTGAGCCTCGCGACACCACGGTCGTCGTCTGCACGATCCGACCCGACGCGGTCGAGTCGGTGCGAAAACGGCGACGCGGTCGAGTCGGGCGCCAGGCCTCGTGTCCGTCTTTTTTTCAGGTCACTGCTTGGATGCCCGTGGGCTTTTTGGTAGGGAGCAGTTACTCACAGTAGATCACTGGAAAAGTGCGGGTGGTTCACTCGACAGCTGTCGAAGCACCCTTCGACAGCTGTGGTCTGGAGACATGTGTGCAGTCACGCTCGGGCACCGTTGCACCAGAATTCCGTGGACACCCCTTAAGAAAGCCTCACAACAGCACAGCATAATCCATGACCATCAATTACCACAACATTATAAATACCAAAACCTATATTATGGCTTTCTGACATTGCATCGATAAGAGCTTTACAAAGAATGGGCGGTAGAAGCACCGTGGAACCTGTGGCACATAGGTCAGTCTTTGTCTTGTCTGACCAGCACTTCCAAAGACTCAACAGCACATCTGGAAGGATAGCCACTTGACTGCCACTTGACCAATCTATGACAATGTATTAAGGATCATTCGATCATTAAGGACCTTTTGCCAAGTATTGCCAAATTGCTCACCCCTTCACAAATATTTCCAACATATCGCCCTGGCCCAGTTCCCCGAAATCTCCAACATCTGGAAACCGACAATTAGAAAAGACATGAAAAGACCCACATCACGTCTTTAAAAAACACACACACAAAGGCACTTATAAGGACCTACACAATCCCCGATTGTACCCACTTGAGTGTGACATTTACCTCCCTGTCCCATGGGGGAGGTCTCGCCTTCCCTATCCCCATCTCCTCTGTCTCTGCCTTCTCAAGTGCATGGATGGGCCTTCCCTCTGCACCGAACATCTCGTCGGAGGTCCGCAGGCTCTCCAGGTAGTTCGTCCTTAGACCACCGAAGGCCGCCGGTTGGAAATCGGACGAAGGGAGTCGACATAGGAGTCGGCTGGTAACGGAGCCGATTGGTTGATTTCTCGTCAACCTGCCGCCATGATACTATTATATAGTTCATATATATGTTCGTACTAGTTCACCTTTGGACAAAATGCAGTACATCTAGAATTGCATGGACACTGTATCTGATAATCATCCTGTTCCTTGTCCTTTAAAGCTGGCGGTGCATGCTGTCATTTCTCGGCCATTGACATTGACATCCAAAACATAAGGGGGTGACGCAACTGGTGACGCTTCGTCACTCCAAAACAGGACACTTTTCCGTCCCGAAGCGCCTGTGGACAGATTCACCTTCACACTGATCGGATCGAACGGACCGGACCGAGGCTCGGCTCGGTGCTGGCGGCCCAGCGCAGCACCCGACGGCGCTCCACCATGCCAAGGCCCAGGTCGCGCAAATCCTCCTGGGAGGTGAGGCAGTGGGGATGTAGGTATGCAAAGGTAGGATTAATAACCCCCCCCCTAGTTAAACCAGGGGGGGGCGGTTGATTAATCTGGGGTTTGCATGGCATTGGGCGAAAAGGAAGCGAACAAAGAGTTTTGAGGAGTGAAGTGTTTGTGCAAGGTTTGATGAAGGGGAGATGAACCTGAGCAGAAGAGCTTGTGGTGGGATTCTAGGTGCTCTAAGCAGTAGCTGTTTTGACACAGTAAATTGGAAGGGCCAGGACGCAAGCAGCTGCGAAAGACCTCAGGACGCGAGCCCCCAAAACCACGCGCTTTCACTCACTTGCATTGGTCCAAGCCAAAAACGGACGAGATCATCTCGATCATCTCGGGAAGCCGATCTCGCACCTTTTCCATCAAGTCCCGTGCGTCGCGACCGTCGCGTGCACCTTGTCGAGTTCGGCCAGGTCCACAGCCGTTTGCACCTGCTCTTGTTGTAAACGCTTTCGCAGATCGCCCTTCATCGCCTGTCCACGCCCCACATCAACGTGGGATGCAGGTGTTGTTGTGGGAAAATAGCACATGCCAGGAAGAGTGGGCAGATTGAATCGGATTGAATCTTTATGAAACACAAACATGTCGTTCCGTCGAAAGAGACTGACCACGAGCATGATGATAGTTGAATGTAGTGTACCAGGCCATGTATATATTGCGAATATATGATGAATTAACTGGTGATATGGAAGAGCTATACAACACTTCAATTGCTGGAAATTGACATCAAATGCTTTCAGTGAAGCGAAAAAGAATAAACCTAGCAACAACCAAACATGCAATACTGCACCCTCAAAAGCCATGATGTTACAACTCAAACAAGAACATTCATGGCCCTCCGTCACGAGCGTCTTGTTTGGAGTAGGACTGAGTCTGGCACTGTATGGTTTACCAGGCAGGGGCCCCACAAACCATCAAAAACCTGGTTTTCCCTAGCAAAACAACTGGTTTTGGTATGTGAAAACCTCTCCTTTTCATGGTTTGGTTCGGGCCCCTGGTAGGGACTGAGTCTGGGGCCCGTCCCTTCATTCCCGATCCCTCCGACCGGTCATCTGGTCATCGGTCCGGTTTTGCAGTCTGGACTGCCGTGACTGCTGGTGAACTAGCCTACCACCCTGATCTTCTGGCAAGCTTGCATATTTGCTTTGCTGTGAAAGATTCTGAAACCATCAATCATTTCTCAAAGGGGACTGTCACCACTGCTGTCACCACCGCCAGCTTCCGCTTCCACCGAACCCGGGCCGGCTGCGCCAGCCGGCACCCGGCTTCGGCGCGCCTGTGGGGCCAGGAGGCTCAACACATCTTCTGCTGAACTCACCGCTTTCTGCTTGCTCGTGGGTCGATGCAGAAAGGCCGTGGAAGAGCGGCCAATGTAGCGCTGCATGGTGTCCATCCGCACCACGATCACGCGCACGAAAGGGGAGCGGGGGATGGTGCCAGTGGAGAATGGTGAAAAGGTCTGCTTTTTGAGGCTCGGATTTGACGATTTGCTTCACAATTGCTACGGGTGATTTGCTAAGCCGATCTATATAGGCATGCACCCAGCCAAAGGTGTTGGCGTTTGTCTGCTTTGTTTCGCCCCACTCAATAGCCTGACCCCTTTCGACGTGTCCACCATTTCCAAATTCAATGGATAACAAGGCGCCATAACAAGGCGCCATAGCTGGCGCTTCAGCCAAAGGCTGCATGAATCGCTGGAGCTGTCGAACGAGAACCCACTTTTCCGTCGCCAAAGGTCGGCTGTCCGCTCGTCCACCACCGATGGGATACAGGGAACTCTGGGTCGGCCGACTAAACAAACGCTGCTTTTCTTGAAAGACATGGTTGAAAACATGTTTTAACTCAAGTCTTCCAGATCCGAGGGATGATCTTTGTCTACAAATGTCTACAAGACCTGAGAAACAAGGCCGGAAGCGCTCTCGGCTGCTGGCGACAGGGACTTGAAGCTGAGGTACTGTTTCCTGCAGCGTGCAAGGCACCCAGCTACTGCAGGACGGGCACTCATACGGACAAGTCGCTGCCAAACACTTTTTTGCCTTATGGTATGTCCCTTCGTCTACCTTTCACTACTGGGCCTGAAATGCTTGCAACCAGGGCGGGTTTATACTGGAGAAAAAGTACAGGCGTCGTATGTACTTTTCGATAGCTTTGAACAAACATCAAAACAACACATCAAACATAACTTAACATAAGAGTCTCATAAGAGCTCATGCTGTAAATCATGCCCTGTTGCAAAGAAATCCATAACTAACGATTTGCCACTTCTTTCTCCCCGCCACATCCCAATCATCATCCGGACTTGTCGCTTGATGCCCAGAGTCCTCTCGGCCGTGTCTCCACGACCGAAGTCCTCTCGGCTCTCGACTCTCAGTCCTCCCTGACCGTTTCGCCGATCGTTTCGGCTTCACCGTTTCCGTTGGATCGCCGCGGCTCCTCTTCATCTCGCCCGGCTTCACCTCCTCTCGATCCTCGCCCCGGCAGAGGCGATGCACCATAGAGGCGGACCTGGCGGACCCTAGATGCACCACGAGGGGGATATATTATATGTTAGTTGTATTGTATATATCGAGACATATAACTGTATAATATATACTGTATATGTATATCCTTGAGTTTTTAATGACCCTTTTAAATTTGCCTTTCCAAGAAAAAGATGTTATTGAAAGAAAGCACTCTTTTTGCATATGTCACGAAATGTTCCTCTTTTGTTTGTGCCCTGTCAGATCCTCCTTAGACAGTGTCCTGAGACCTTTTTTTTGGCGTCCAAAACGCGTCTTTTTGCGTCCAAAAGGCGTCATTAAGCGTCCGCACCGGCCGCGTCCGGATGAAGATTCACTCTGTACCATTTTTTTGTGTCCTTATCTCTGAAGGTATGTATATTGGATTATTCATATTCTGACCGTGCTTTATGTCTGTCTTTTACATCTATAAAACCTACCCAATGGCAAACGTTTTGCACAGTTGGAAGATCTGGCTTTTCTCTGTTGGGATGAGGCTGAAACGACAAAAAGGCTCATTTGTGAGCCAGTAAAACATATAGTTTACATACACTATATATATAGTGATATGGTACGATGTTTTTGCCGGAGGTTCTGACCCTTTTAGAACAGCTCAGCACATGGTGCTTGCATGTTCTTCCAGCGTAACAAAACTTCCTGGCGGACTGTGAAACGCCCCAAAAAGCCTGCGGCAAACAGAATATAACATGAGACATTGAGTATTCCCTCAAGACTGTTTAACGATGTTGCTTGCGCAGGTGCCACAAAACACAAGAAACGTAGACAAACACATCTACAAACCTATAGGACTTCTTCACCCATGGTGAGTTGGATGCCAGTGATGAGATCATAGCCTGATCATAGCTTCGTCGATATGCAAATCTTTGATTGACCCATGGCGAAATCATAGCAAGTCCTTGAGTTATAATGTATACACCCTGGAAGACTAACATGGACCCTGAAAACCACTGGTTAGAAGAGGAAAACAATCTTCCAGGGGCCATTGTCAGGGTCTATGTTCGTTTCCGGGAGTGTATCTTCTATGTCTCTCTTGCCAGCATAACATACGTATTTTCACCATGTTCGATACAAAGAGTCAAGTGGATTCTCCCAAGTCGGATGTTGAACTTCAGTTGGAGTGCAATAAACGAAAATCAACACAACTGGGACTCCAGCAGAAGAATTCGAACACTGAACACCTCCGCTGTGGTAAACCTGCTTTATGTTTGCCTCTGTTTGCCGGCGATTCGTGCAAACGTGCCCACGATGGCTGGTCTCCCACAATCCGCTGGAGCTCGGCGAAGGGAACCTGGCTCGGGTGGAGTGGAGTGGAGTCCCCCGGCTCGGGTGGACGCTCCATGAGACGCAAAAAGGCTCCGGCATTTGCAGCCACAAACAATGCTTCCTTGAGCAGCAAGGGATATGTGCTCGGCGATCAAAAAAGGATCCTCTTCAGTTACGGATCCATGGGGAGCTAATAGGAGATACACATGCATCAAATGCATTCATGGACTATTCAGATCGCATTCACTGAAACTGGCTTTTGGCTGGAGCAAGGAGAATAAGGAGACAGGAGGAGGCAAAGTCAGTCGCAACAACCGAGCGGCTGCGATATGCTGCGAGCAGGTTGAATTCTTGAGATGTGTTCTTTCCAACGCCCGTCAAAGCCAAGTACTCGAGGTCCAAGGTGAACCGTGCAAAAATGAATCGGACGAGCTGCACATGGTTATGGTGGTGGCTGAATACAGATTGAACTGTTAAACTGTTTGGTGTGATGCCTTCAGGTTTGACTTGTCGCCTTCCACGTACAACACATCCCATCCCCTTTTTTGCCCCGGGATCGGCCTGGCGTCTGACGGATCGGATGCTACGGATGGTGCAGCCGGTACAGTCGACTTCACATGGATGCAGAAATCCCTTAGCACATCCTAAAGGAAGGATGTGCTACCTACAGCATGGAGTTCATGACCCCATCAGTGAAGAAACAGGTCACAGTGGATGCTTTACATTCGAACATCAAATGTACATGAGTCCACTGAGTCCACCCAAAATGGCCTCATGGATTCAGTGATCCCTCTTTACTCTTTCAGAGATGTGCTTAAAGCAGGCCTTTGGAGCCTCAACACCATCTCAACACAACGAAGCGGCCCGCCTCCACCGGCTCGACCTCCCACCCTTCTCCACGGTGGACCCGACGACGGTGCCGCCGCGCCTTCTGCAGTTCTGCGGTGGGACTTTCGGGGTCCAACTGCAGTGCTTCTCGCAACTTCTGCCCCAGCTTGCCTCCCAAACCACGCCTTGTGAGGCGGACTCCACGGCGAAACACAGGGTGACAGGCCGGGTGTTGACAAATTAAGGAAGAACGTGATGGAGCTCGCTGGCGCAAAGACGAACCGGTTTATAGTCCTTTGGGATCCCACAGAATCTTGTTCATGCTCATGCAAGCGGAATGATACTACATGATACTCTTGTCAACTTGTCAACAATGCATGCAACCGTTTGGCTACGGGCAGAATGGCCAGCTGTACTCGAGTGTTTTCGGGCAAGGTTCTTCATGGTTGGTGTGGGCTGCAGGCTGATGCGCCCAACAACTTGAAGGAAACGATTCCCTGCTAAAGCGATCGTCATATACTTTCTTCATCTAACATGCTGCTATATGCTGCTGGTGGTAGTTAAACAAACTATAGTCAAAAGAAGGGACACAAGAGGCGTCTGATCTGTTCCCGGTCTGAACACAATCCCCATCCGTTGTTCAGCTCCATGTCAAGAACCCGACCTTTTTGTCGCAAGAATCATAAGTCAGAAAGCAATTATATAGTCAGATGACCTGCACCTACCAGCCAGACTTGACAGCATGGTAGAAGCGAGGTCGAGTCACAGCGTGGTGGTTCCTGCCCCGCTCGCTCCATACAAGTTTCACGCTTTCAGATCAAGCCAAGTGGATCCGATCCCAGCTCTTTACAGGCTGTACAACTGTGCTTGCTGAAGCTGTGAATAGAAAATAATGGGAGAATCGAACGAGCTGTACAGTTTGCAGAACTCATACTTATCACATGACACATGTCACCGTCTAAATCAAATTCGCATGGAGTGCTCTCCCATCTTCTGGTTGAGAGGGAGCTCTCCACAAAAGGTCTACGCGTTGGCAAACCTCAGCAGGACTGCGCTGGCGAACCTCTCAGTACTTAAGCTAGGCAGGATGGAGATCCCGGCGAGTATCCAAACCACAGCACGCCCAAACCAGTATTTGACCCCACAGGTGATAGATCGCTGTCGAAGAGGCGTTTCCTACAGGTCAGCCTCAGTAGTTCTATACACACGGCTTTATGTCTATAACCCTCAAATATACCGCTGAAGGAAGCTGCATCGTACAAAAAAAGGGATTGCAACACATAACCAACAAACATGGTCAATGGACTCCATGGACTTAGTCGAACACAAAGAGGTTGAAGCTTTTTCGGATTCCGAGGATCTTCGTCTTCGGACCGACAGACCGGAATAGACCGGTCACATCCTCTTTCCGGAACGGAATCGTGTTCGTCCTCGGGGGAAAAGCATTCTATTCAATCTTGAGAAAAGCATCGGAAAAAACATTGAGATACCAAGATCGACTGTATTCGACTGTCATTTTCTTAGCCGGCCCCGAAAACGACGAAAACCACGTCCACACCGCACGCACGTCCACAACGGTTCGCTCGCCTCGCACCGTCCTTCACACATGAATGTCCGTGGAGTCCATCAAGCGCCTGCGTCCGTCGAAGAGACGGTCAGACGCGGAGCGGAGCGGTTCGCGGACCGAAAACGACGAGTCTCGGACGTCGAGTCTGTGGTGACCGAAAACGGACGATGTCGAGTGCCACGTGGTGGAACTGGGAAGGCTGGGATGTTGATGTTTGTCCATCGAAGGAAGCCTCAAACCTGCTTCATTTACCCTGAGGTGCTTGGGACTGTCGAAGCCAAGGCCCAAGGTGGTGAAAGAAATTCCTCTATCAGTTGGAGGTGTAATCTTTGAATACAAGCAAATTCCCAAAAAGACATAAAAAGATCATGTGGCCAAACACTGAACCCAGGCGAATCCAGGAAGGAGTTCACATGCTAAGTTTACAAGCAACCTGTTTTGAAGACTGAATAACACCGCGTGCAACGTTCAACCATGGGTTTGAATCTCAGTCCACCCCGAATCGGCCCGGTCAACGGTTGCCTTCTATACTCTTCCCTTCGAAACAATGGACCTGGATTTGGGCGGATCAACTATCCAAAATTAACATGGTCTTTGCCTATCAAAACAGAGGTCAGTCAGGCTCTAGGTATATATGGCTGTGAGATGTCGTGGGTCATGGCAGTATGGTACCAGGAGACCGACCAGTTGACTCACCGACCGACTCCTGACCAGTTGGACTGGTCGCCACGGACAGCACACCACGGACAGCACACCACGACTCGTCACGAACCATTGGACCATATACTTATGAAGTTTCCCCAATGTGACATTCCCAGAAGACATCCGAAGTTCGTCCGTTGGAACCTGAAATCGCTCGATGTCTTCTTGAGATTGCGCCTGGACTTGGCCAAGCGTGTGCCCAGATAGTGGCCCATGGCCTGGGAGATGAAGCGTGTGCCGATGTGGACTGTGGAGGTGGAGCGATGTACTGATGACAAAGGCTTCTTTGAGTACCTTTTGGTGGAGGCCTCGATCTGATGAGAAGGCGATCGGCTGGACAGGAAAGGCATACGACAGGCATACTAAGACTAAGAATCATTGGCGCATCGATGTTGAGCTGGGAATCCCACACAGATCTTCCCTAACCCATTCTGAAAACCTCCTTCTTTGACCCACACAATACAATGCCTGGCTGGCTTCGGCGACCTCTGGTGGACCACCGAACCACCGAGCCTGTGCACGGTCAACGAGGGTCAACGAGGGTCAACCTACGGTCCACGGAGCTTCAGGCGCCATGACCTATGTCGTTCCTGGAACCCAGTCCTGACCCCTGTTTTGATAGGAAGTTTGGGCCATATTGTTGGGTGGTTGGTGGTCCAAAATAGAGGTCAAGCTCAGGTTCGACCCGGTGCTTCATGTGTGTCCAATGCTTGGAGGTGATCACCAGGTGACCGGTCGCGCTTCACCCAGCTGAACGGAAGGTCCCAGCGGCCATGATGGTCCCTTGCGGATTGATACCTCACCACGGCGGATGGGATAGGATGGGTGGGTGGTGGGATGGATGGCTTGGGTTTCTTCGCGTCAAAACATCGGTAGACCTTCTTTTTGGAGGTATTTGGAAAAGGACGGTCTTATTCATATGCATTCTTATGAAAAACCCAAAAAGGGTTGAGAAAGCCATAGAAAGGAACGACGCAGAATGCCCATGTGTTCTTGTTTGACCAAAGGAGGCCAATGTACCTTGAGCCGCACGCCAGACTTGATGCTCTTTATGATGACAATCTAGCTTTCAGATATTGAAGTTTGTTGTAAACTAGGGTGTCTTTCCTCAAGTCTGAGGTTTGCTGATGGATGCTGATGGATTTGTGTCTGAAATGATTCGACCATGAACGCCAGGAAGAACATGTCTATACTTACTTAAGAAAAGGTTTTGGAGCATTTAACCCCCCTTATGGGATGGGTTCAAGGGTGTTGAGCCTGGTGGTTATGTTCAAAGGAACCACACAGACTGGACTTCTTGTATCTTCTTGTCGAAGAACACTGTCGTGTCATTGAACGGACCTTTGTACGTTCGTACAGGCTTTAAGGAATGCAAAGAAGCCAGTCATTCTCAGCACAGGGGAAATATGTCATCCACCAAACCCTTCAGATAAGTTCGTGTGGATACGCATCAAATGTGAGAAATACTGGATAATTGATGTGGTCGGAGATGTGTGAGTATATATATACACAATTATATACACACTGTGTGTATATATATATACACTGTATATGCATAAATAGGTTCAGAGAAATCCCTTCACAACACTGTAATGATCATCTTCCCCATCTGTGCTCTGCTTCAACTGAAAGACTCAAGACAAACTTGGTGCACTACTTCTAAGGAAATTGTCCTGCCAGCCTTGCGAGCTGTCCAGGCAGCATCTTCCGCTGCTTTGTGTCAAGTCCAGCACAAACACATACACACACTGTGGAACACACGCACACAGCTCTGAAATAGACCACTTTGGATTCATAAAGGTTCAGAGCAAAGCAAGTAAACTACCATATCCCCAAGTGGATGTGACTGAACTCTCAGTAGATGCCAAGATGGTCACTTCAAAAAAGGCAAACGTCATCCTCAACTTTGGATCATGAATATTCATGAATCCTGAAAGGATTGAACCCTAAATCCTTAGAAATCCTTAAAACACATGTGGAACAGTCGTGAAAGAACCTGGGAGACCCTTCGTTTCACCGGCCATCAAATACGAGGAGCGCGTGGGATTCGGAAAGATTGAGGCATCAGCCACCTGGGATCAATCGCTGAGAATACATGGACCCTCGTGACCCTCGTGACCTGTCGAAGGAGTGCTGGAAGGTGCTGGATAGAAAGGTTTTGAGATATCACCAATAGAAACGCTGCTGCATTCACCACCATACCAAGTTTCTTCTATAAGAGGATATAATAAGAGTGTGTATATGTATATCTATGTTATATTGTTTAATGTTGACTGTAAGCAATGTCTGCTGCAGCACCATAGTATAAAAAAGGACCTGTAAAATGAAGCTGGAAGTGTAGAAAACACCACAGCAGGAAGGCACCTGGTTTCAGTACAAAGCACCACGAACTCCATAAATTAATGTTGGCTACGTTGTCACTTCATGTCATCAACGTGCTTGATGCGCATTTTGTTGCTTGGATGTGTTCTCTCATGTGACCCGTTAGTTCTTGTGAACCGTTCGTCGAGCCTTCCTGTCTCCGTTCTCAACGAACCCTGAGGATCCGATTTCAATGCTTCTATTTGTGAATTTGGAAGCACCCCGTTGTATACTTCCCTCAACCAATGACATCAAGTAGTTCAGTTCAAGCCAAGCCACATGGAGATTCTCGATCCCCTTCACCTTCATATCATGACCTTCAACCACTTTCCCAAAGGCTGCACTGCCAAAGTAGTGATAGGACGAGACCACCGTGTTCTTGAAGTGATCCTGGGCTCGAGAATACATAGGCAAGCCCATTTCCACTCTGACATGCATCTATGTATGTGTATGTGTATGTACATACATATATATATATATGTAAATGAATACGAATCAATGAATAATATGTGCTCTGTGACAAGTTCAATCAACATCAACGCCATGGAAACGTGA